GCATGCTTTTTCACCTTGATAACTTATGGTCATTAGAAAGCTATTTACTTACATACTATGTTATAGTCAACATACCACGCTAAATGCCCATTTGTAACTGCAACAGACTCGTAGACACACTATTGACTATATTATACAAAACCATGACCATAAGTTTCAGTGTAAGAGATTTACTTGTCTCTTCCTTAAAGCAAGAAATATCCCACAGTTCAGATTTACATAAGTAGTGCCTCTTTTTAAATAAATTAAAAATAAAATGCTATCCTGTCCATAAAAATTATAAATATTTCTAGTCCATTTTACAGAATGTTAAAATGGTCATAAATGTATTATCTCCCAGTAAATAAACACTATGGCACTGAAGCCAGTTTAAAAAAAAAAGTCATCACACTGGCCCATGGAAATATCTAGGATTCTTTCATATCTCCTAACATTAGAAAAAGTAAACCAAATAAGGGAAAAAAGCCAAGAAGAAAAAGAAATTTTACAAAATGGCAACTCCTATGACCCAGAAGAGTTCGATAATGCCTACATTTGATTCGGTAAACTAAGCCATGTCTGGAATGAACATTTGTGGGTAACTAGGTTAGGAGAGTGTTCTTCTCAGCACTCAGGTCAAAATCACAAGGGATGTAGAAATACTTTCCACATTCCACAAGGAAAGACAGACTTGGAAACGGATTGACTGTTTAAAAACCACATACCAAGACTGATCCAGAATATTCAAGATTGGCATTTTGATGGAGTGAAACCTTCAGTGGCATCAAAATTAAAAATCACAATCCCGTGTGAGGATGCCACTTATTTTTACCACCGTGGAGAAAGGGAACATGATTGCCAAGTATGACACACGCTGACAGGCTAAAATGAGAAATTATGAACAATTTTAAGTAACCAAACTGTTCCCTGTGGAAGCATAAAAACATGATTTTCAAATTGATTCAACTTGTAATGTGTCTCTTAGATGTAGGAAGTAGATTCCATTCTGTGGCCTGTTGAACTGCTCTTTACATAAAATATTTCCTCCACCTTAAAAAAAAAAAAGGCTTCTGAGTGGCACCGTCGCCTTCAGTGTGGGAGAGAGCAAACAGGCTTTGCGGAGTGGCGTTACATACTTGTTTCCAAGGCCTCCACCAAGGTGGGTGACTCCATCAGATCACAGTATCTCCAAATCTACATGTCGGACTTCGGGATTTCGTTTCTGGAAGGAAAAATCACCACATTACTCACAGCAAAACAAAATCTCCTGTTTCCTTTTATTCCTTTTCATCACTACAGCCACTGAAAACACTTGGTCAAGCTACTTCACTCTAGCCTACCAACAAGAGAAACATTTGCATAAGAAAACAAAATAAGATCAACCGCTGAACAGACACTATCAACAGTACAATTAACAGTCCCGCCTCCCTGAGTTTGTTCATGTGTCATTAGTACAGAAATGTGCTAGGACGGGCCAAGCATTCCAAAGCACTGAAAATATGCTTTTTTTTTTTTGTGGTGAAAGGAAAATTACTGCAAAACAGTAATAATCAGAAAGAGTAAACTGATAATCACTTATTTATATACTTCAGCAACAACCCCTATAGTCTTGAGCCAGGCACCGTGCTAGGAAATGGAGCTGTGACTATTAAATAAGACTCTGCTCCCGACCCTGAAGGACTCAATTGAAATACCCACCTACCAGTTAAAGTATTAGAGCTGATAATAAAAACAGTTAAAATTTATTGCGTACTTACTCACGTGTCAAGTACTGTGCTAAGGGACTTCACGGGGCACGCATGTTTTAACATCCTCATAGTAACCCGATTATTATTTCCATTTTACGTATGGGGAAACTAGTTTGAAGACATTAACTGACCTGTCCAAAGTCACACTGCTAGTAAGTCACAGAGGCAGGACAGATTCCAGGCCCCGGGCTCCTAACCAGTACAGTGCACTAAATAGCAACACTGGGAACAAAAACGAGAGAGCCATCGCTCTTGCTCATGAGGTCCAGAAGGACTCCGACAAGGACGGACCATCTAAGCTAGGTTTGGACGTGGTGAGTCTTCCAGATAGATAACGACGAGTATCTAGACGGGAAAAACGGCGCGAGCGAAGGCGGAGAGCCCGGGAAGCATGTGCTGGCACAACCGCAGAGCAGCGCAGAAGCTGCGGAAGGGCAGGGTTAGTAACGAGGCTGGAAGAACCAGCAGAAAGCAGGCTGTTAAAAATGGCATACGCTAGCTTAAGGAAGTTAAACTGAACAACAACAAACACCATCTAGCGTCATGTGCCTGCTCTGTGCCAGCCCCCGAAGTAGGCGGCAACAATGGACAGGAAACAGTGTTTGCCCATGGACGTGTGTCTGGAAGTGAGGTGACACCGGGGAATAGGGAGGCAATTATAATACCCTTCCACAGGGCACAGCAAGGTTTGGGGTTTCTTTTTCTTATGAGTGCACAAAGGAAGGACACCTAAATCAATTCGAGGGGCACTAAAAATGTAATAAAATGTAATATGATGTGAGAGTGGAGGACAAAACAGTGCATATAAAAGAACTAAATCTGCAGCTATCAAAGAGGAAGTAAGTGCTGTCAAATCAAGAGGGGCAGCATAAGACTTTTATGCAGAAATATGGCAATAAATAAAAAAATACTAGAAGTATTAAAAACGGTTGTCTCTGAGAAGGATGATTAAGGAATGAGCAGGGTGATACTTGTGTTATCTTTCTAGTTGTTTGACTTCATAAATTTTGTGCATTTGATAAAAATTGTGAAAATAAATCAACAAGGGGAGAAATGCTCCTGTAAGTGATTCTCATAATCAATCAGGATTAACAATTCCTAGCTTAAAAGTAATATCCTAGAACTATGTGCATATTATTTGTATTCAAGGAATTCAGTTATAAAACTAAAATCTGGTATAATACTGGAGTTTTGCTCTAGGTAGAACTTTCCACTGAACGTACACAGGGATTTTTCTCATACCTGGTGCTGTTCAGTGGGCCTGGGGTGCTCTCCTCTTGGATCCAAATGTGAGCATGGTCAGGGACCCCCAAACATGGAGGGCACACTTTTTTCCTTAATTTCTTCTTTGTTTGAAACTATTCCCTGTCTCTAGAACTCCTTAAATTCAATATGGAATAAAAAACTATTTCTCCAAACACAAATGAAACTGAATTTTATTCTCCTCCTCCATTCGACCCTATATCCTAATATGACTTGAAAAATTTAGATGTATGAGGAAGTTTGACGTTATTCTATTTAAAAATCACTATATAACAAATGTATATTAATAAAAACTATCTCAAGGAAAAAAACCTAAAAACTTAATTTACTCTGCTTTTTAAATCAAGTTTTCAGAGAGAAAACTAATCAAATTTGTAAAATATATGTGCACAACACAAAGCAGACACACACACGTTTGCTGAATGAATAAATGAATAAAAGAAACAGGATTAATGTCCTTACAATTCAACGTTTACTGCCTAGCAAGATATCACATGCATAGTAGAAATGGATATTTGTTAAAAAAAAAAAAAACCTGAAAATCAATAATTGGTGTCCAACTTATAATTTTCATTCATTTATTCAATAAACACTTTCAAATATACTATATCGCATGCACTGCTCGATGTCAATTAGACTATTTTATACACCAGAGAGATTTTATTCCAATACTCATACAGAGAGGAAAATCAAATTATATAATTTATTTTCCAATGCTACAGACTCAAGTTAAGAAAATGTAATAGGAGGATGCAACTAGAGAAACAAAGACAAAGAGCAGAGCATTTAACCGGAACATACGAGGAATTCGCAAATGCCATGGCAGCCTCCCCATTCCAATAAAGTCATTTCTCCTGATACATAAAAAACTTCATGGAGGGAAAGGAGAAGGGTTTGTCTACACTCTGATGTATAGAAGTAGGACAAAAAAAAAATTTATGTTAATAGTTCAAAGAACTTCAAAATAATAATAAGATATGTTTTATAATTCTCATTTTGTAATGAGAATTTATGAATTAGTCTCTATTAACTTTAACATCATTACTTAGAACTATGAAAGTTCTAAAATTTTAAGCCAAAAATATCGTCTATTCTAATACTCAATGGCATTACTCCACGGAGATGGCTATACTGGTGCAGAATTATATTAATGAGTGTGATCTTCCAAAGTAATTCGATAATAATTAAAATTTAAACTTGGAAGGCAACCATGAGATACTAAAAATGAGAGATTATGCCATTGTACAAAGTTTTGTGTCCAAAAGAAAATCAGCTTATTTTCATGAATATGAAGCATAATTGCATTCATGCAGTTCCTTTTGGTTTGGTACCTCAACTGTGAAGAACTTTGCTTTGACTTAAGGTTAATAATGCTTTATTACTTTAGCCAGAGATGTTTCAACCTGGATGTATAGATTAAACTTAGCTTCCTCGTTTGACAGACTTATATAATTCAAAAACACTATTAATGATTTAATAGCATTTAATTAAAGTACAAAGGTAGCTAAACGAAAACAATAAGCTTATCTGACTGTAGTAAGAATAAATACAGTTGAGAATGACCAATTTGGTAATATTTTTTTTTAGAGACAGGGTCTCACTCTGTTGCTCAGGCTGGAGTGGAGTAGTGGTAGGATCACAGCTCACTACAACCTCGAATTCCTGGGCTCAAGAGATCCTCCTGCCTTAGCCTCTCGAGTAGCTGGGACTATAGATGCATGCCACCACACCTGGCTAATTTTTTTTTTTTTAATTTTTTAATTTTTTTTGGTAGAGCTGGGGTCTCGCTACTATGTTCCCCAGATTGGTCTCAAACTTCTGGCCTCAGCTCTTGTCCTTTGCTAAGAAAGAGCAAGGTTCCTGGAAAACTTTCAAAATACTTCCAATTTAAATCAAACAAACAAAAAAACCTTTTGATTATTTTAGAAACCAAACAGGCAATACAGAATAGTGGTTGTAAGTATAGAATCTGGAATCAAATAACATAGCTCAAATCACAATTATCCTATGTCCTCGAGTAAATTATCCAACTTCTCTTTCTTGTGTGCAAACGCCCATGCATGGGGTTACTGGGCATGTAGGGGATGCATGTGAGCCACTTCGTGTCTGATGTAGAGTAGCTGCCAAAAAACTGGTTACCACTATCGTTACATCATTTTTATGAATACATCTTACTTTCAGTTCCTCCTCAAGTCTATCCACTTCAGCTCCTAAAGTATCAATAATATTTTCTCCATGTTTAAGCATAAAGGTCTCTAGCTCTTCAGGAGTTTTCACTTCTTGAATTTCCTAAAAGAAAATGAAAGCAAGAACAAATTAATTTCTAAAAAATCCTTGACAATTCCTTTATAAAAAACATATAACCAACACCATTAAATTTAATGAAAAATAAAAAAAAACAACTTTAAGCCATAGGCAACAGATTAGCTATTTCCAAAAAAAAAATTCAGATCAAGAAAACTGAATACAATGCTATGCTAATTTTGCACTACAAAATTAGTGGGAAAAGAATAGACTATTCAAGAAATGGTGTGAGAACAATCATTTTCTTGCGACGAAAAAGTATTAAATCCCTACCTCAGACTATTAAATAAATAATTCTAAGTGGATTAAAGACCTAAGGGTAAAAAGCAAACCACAAACCTTTTAGAAGAAGAGGAGAATATTTTTATGATAATGGGATATGGAAGGATTTTTCATGCAAGATAATAAAAAACACAGAGGAAGAGATTACAAATTTGACATTAAAATTAAAAACCATATTAAATCTTCTGTACAACAAAGTGAAAAGTCAAACTAGAAAAAGATATTTGCATATGTACAACTGTGGAAGAATTAGTATTGAGCATATTAAAAATAAAATGCTTAGAATCTGTCAGAATAATAAAAATTAACTAAATACGAATTAAAAAGCAAGAAGCAATGTAGAGGAAATTCCAATGGTCAATGAACTTCAATGTTTATTAACCTCACTACTCCAAGAAATAAAACAAGACACTATTTCACAACTATCATATTTTCAAAAATTTCAAAACTCTACCAATACAACCTAGTAAAAATATGAAGCAATAGAAACTTTGATACACTGACACACTTTGGAGAACAATTTGGCAATTATCTAGGGAAGTTGAAGATAACGCTCACTGGCTGACCTATTATAAATCTAGCTATCTATGTGCTACCTTAAAGAAACTTTCGCATGTGTGAACAAGGAAACGTGTGAACAGGAGAATGCCATCGTGGCACCATTTCATAAATGTCCATCAGCTAGAGGCAGGAAAATAAATTGCAGCATATTCACAGGATGGAATATTATATAATAATGAAAGTAAATTAACTAGAGATATACAAATTAACATGGCACAATCTCAAAAACACTCTGTTAAGCAAACTGTAGAGAGATACATAGAGTAGGATATCGTTTATACCAATTTATAAACATGCAAAATGTTACACATTATGCTACAAAGTGCTGAGAAGTATAAAAATCTGAATGGAAATGATAGGTACCAAATTTAACATCATGTCTAATTCTAAGGATGGAGAAAGAAGAATGGGATCTAGAAAGAGACAATAAGGCCTGAACTGCTTTTGTCACGATTTACTTCTCTAGACCTTAAACAAGGACAAAACATAACATAGCAAACTGTTAAGATTTGACAAAGGCCAAGTAGTTGTCTCTATGCTATTCATTGTATTATCTTCTGTAAATTCTCTTTTAACTTATTCTTAACAAAAAAGCATGGAGTCTGGAGTCAGATGTAGGTTCACATCTGACTCCATATACATGGCTCTGCAACCCTGCGCAAGTTCCCTGATCTCTCTGTGTCGCCATCTGCCTGTATGTTAAAATGAAAATGTTACTTCTTTACTCCACAGGGTTGCTGATGGTAAATCAGATAAAACAGGTGAGATGCCTGGCACTTAACAAGCACTTAATAATAAGTTTACTCTTCTGCTATCTCCTCTGAACCACACTACAGTAAATAAAAAGGTCTGTGTCAAATTTTGGAATCTAAGAAGCTGAGAGCTGAAGTGACTTTAAGATCTGTTTAAAAAAAGAAAAAAAAGATTTATCTTGTTTACTTTAAAAGCAATTTTTCTAACCCTCAGCTATATAGAAAAATGATAAATACATAAACTTACTTGTAGCATTTGATCGAAATCTTGTTTTTCCAAGTATGATCTTGTAACAACTCGTCCATCGAAATCTACTTCTGCCTTAAATCTTACTTTACCTAATCCCAGATCTGTGGCTTTAACATCATGGATTGCCCTGCAGTCAACAACAATGCGTCAAATTTATATACACATACATCACACACATGCACACGCATCTACTTCAATGGCACAGAGTCTAGGATTCTTGCTTTTTTCCTGCTAGTGATGGACATGGACTAAGATGGCTTCAGAGCATTCACCATTAGGTGTCACCTAACATTTTCCAAGGTTCGCTGTCCGTTTAGATTATTTTGCATAGTGTCCTACAAAGGCACAAACTCAACAAATATTACTTTATGGTAATTTGTATACACATGAGTTATAAAGCTTGGGTATTAAAAATCATTAACTCGAAATCACTTTTCTAAAATGTTGTCGTGTCATCTCATAAACCTTTTTCCCCATATCTACTTAACAATTTCCTAAATACCATTTATAAAAGAAAATTGTTTTGATAATAGTGTTTTAGAATATACTAATCACTTTTACATTCACTAGCTTCTTTAGAAGTCTTCACACAATGCTGTGACGTTCCCTATTAGAATGAGGTTAATAATATTAATAGTAACTACCACAGGGGACTGACGTGGGGATGCTGAGCCAACACACGTACAAAAGGCTTAGTACCCACTACAAGGCAGCGATCGAGAATGGCCTCATCAAGTCACAGGGCAGCATCTTTGTTTTACGGATGGTAAGACAGGCCCAGAGGGGCCTAAGCGGCTGCTCAGGGTAATTCAGCCAGCGAACAGCAGACCAGGACTCCCCAGCCCAGCTCCGCAGACCCGCAGGCCCGGCGGTGTTCCCTGCATCCCACGCCGCCTCCCAGACGGGAAAGCGGATGCTCAGGCACAGCTGCTTCCCGTCCTGCCCTGATCCCGCAGTCAGCCTGCCCCAGAGACCTGCGGAGAAAGTCCCTTCCTTCAACGGGACCCTCACAGCATCTTTTCAATACAAGATATATAAGAAGTAACAAAACACTCTGTGACAAGTTACTTAGCTAAAAAAGTAAAAATTTTAAGAAAGCACTCTCTGTCTGTATCCTGGGAACATAGAGATCTACCAAAAAATAAACCCGTGAGACTTAAGTACTCTTAAAACATTTGACAGGCAGAAATGAAGAGAGAAACAGATAATCCAACAGTTATATCTGGAGACTTCGATACTCTACTTGAATAATGGATAGAACAATGGGGCAAGACGATCAACAGGGAAACTGAAGTCTGAACATCACGAGCCAACTAAACCCAACAAACATCTACAGAACACTCCATACAACAACAGAACATATCTTCTTCCCAAGCACACATAGAACAGTATCCAAGATAGACCACCTGCTAGGCCATAAAACAAACCTCAGTAAATTTAAAAGGACAGAAGTAATACAAAGTATATTCTCTGACTACAATGAAATAAAACAAAGCAATAACAGAAATAAATTTGGGAAACTCACAAATATGTAGAAATTAAACAATATACAAAAAGAAATCAAAAAGGAAATCAGAAAATATGGTAAGATGACTAAAAATGACATAACAGGTCAGGCACAGTGGCTCAAGCCTGTACTCCTAGCACTCTGGGAGGCTGAGGCAGGAGGACTGCTTGAGTTCAGGAGTTAGAGATGAGCCTGAGCAAGAGCAAGACCCCATCTCTACAAAAAATAGAAAAAAATTAGCCAGGCGTGGTGGCATGTGCCTGTGGTCCCAGCTACTCAGGAGGCTGAGGCAGGAGGATCACTTGATCCCAGGAGTTTGAGGTTGCAGTGAGCTATGAAGACGCCACCGCACTCCAGCCAGGGCGACAGAGTGAGACTGTCTCAAAAAAAAAAAAAAAAAAAAAAATATATATATATGTATATATCATACCAAAATTTCAAAAGAGAAACTAAACCATTAAGTTACTAAGTCTGGTACTGATTTTCAGAATGCTCAACTCCTGAGTTGGGTGGAGGCAGGGATGGGGGAGAAAAAAAAGAGTATTTAACGTCTAATCTTTTTTAAGAGACGGGGACTCCTACGTCACCCAGGCTGGAGTGCAGTGGCTATTCACAGGCATGATCATGGTGCACTGCAGCCTCGAACTCCTGACCTCAAACAATCCTCCTGCCTCAGCCTCCCAAGTAGCTGGGCCTACAGGCACGTGCCACCACGCCCAGCTCTGAATTTATAATCTTGATCTAATGAGGTAACTACTTTTCAAGACTAAACATATAGGGCATAAAATATAAATCTAGTAATCACTAATATGTTGTATTAATTCAAATATTTAGGTCATTTTTAAAAGATTTAACTTAAAGATTTCAAGTATAACCCAGAAGAAAAATATCTTCTTATTTTAAAGTTTGAAAAAATATATATATAGCTAGTGGAAAATTAGGATTTCAGAAGTTTGTTCTTTTACTTTGTTATAAAACTGTAATGCTGCTGAGTTTCACTGAAAAGTACTATTAGAACTCTATCTCTTCTGCTGATTATCTCCTAAGTCTTCAGTTCTTTAGTCTTACACAATTTAAAAGGAAAAAATTTTTTAATAAGCTATAATGGAGTCTGTTTTCAAAAGAAATATATATTTAATTTGGTAATCAGTTTCCTATGAATAAAAATCTTTTAAAGTACGTTCAATTAGTAACTGCAACACAAATATAAGGCAAACATAAACATTAATATAAAGGTTCCACATTAAGTGTTTCCACATTAAGGAGCCAACTATTCCTATTAAATCTGACTGTTCCTTATTCTAAAAAGTTTAAATATACAGAATTTAAAAGGAAACTTTTAAGGAGTTTCCTAAATGTATTCTTGCTTCCCTCCAAGATTATAATTCTGAAAAGTAATAGATTTTAAAAAGTTCTGAAGGCTAGGAATCCAAAACTTCCTCTGGCAGTATTTATACCGAGCAGTTCTCTTTTCAATCTGTTTTCTGTGAGCCTTGGTAGCAGCGCTGGGAAAAGGCTGACCTTACTGACGGGTCGTTCTCCAGGAGCTCAGTGAGCCGCTGCACCTGTTCTGGCTGGATGGACCGCCCCAGGAGCGCCTCTGTGTTCGTGTAGATGAGGAATGCTGAGACCACGCCCAGCAAGGTGCCCACGCCCAAGGAACCCAGGCTGTCATACAGTGGATTGCCTAAATAAAGCACGTGAGAGATCAGTAAATACACGTTTTCTATTATTTCAGTGACCTTTACAAAGAACCAAACTAATAAATCAAGGCACTTCAAATTTATTCCTAATTCTTTTAATTACTTCCTTTAATGACTCCTAATAGTTTACTATACTACAAAATGGGGATGATACAGCTTGCTTCATATTACTTAAGAGTATTATTCAATTTAATTGTTCAAGATGCTTTTTGTATCTGGTCATTGCACGGGTTCAGAGCACTTTCAGATTAGAGACACCATATACACAGTGACATAACAAACAGTACATTTCTTTTAGATATATCAATAGCACTTTTCCTACACTGGACAGACAGTACATTCACTCGTATTTAGACACGTCAATGAAACTGACGTGCACAGCCTTGGGATGTGGGAGGAAGCTGGAGTGCCTGGAAAAATCCCACACAGACATGGGGTGAACATGCCAACTCCACACAGACAGTGGTCCCAGTCAGGAACTGACTGTTTTTTTCGTCAACCTTATAATGAAACAACGTTGAATGAAACTATGTTATTTAAGGACCTGCTGTATATTTATTTAGAACTTTAGAGTTTATTAAATTTCTCTCTCATACTATCTTAATTAACCTGTAAGTTACCAAGGCAAATATTAGCCATACTGTGTTACAGGTTAAGAATTTAAAGTTCAGAGTGACTGCATAATTTATTAAGTCACAGCTAGAAAGGTTTAGGGCATTATAGGAATCTTCTACTAACAGCCTTTCTTATTTCTAAATTAGAGAAATTTCTAATTCAAAGAAACCTGAACGAATACGTTCACTAAATGTCTTATACAAATCAATGATTAGTATGAAATTAACACTGAACAATCTATTGGTTTAATACTATTCAATGATGTAAGAAAAATTCCCATATATTAAAGAATTATTTAAGTAGTACAAATAAATCACCTGTAATTTAAGAAATATTTACCTGTTATAGAAGTAAGACCCATGCAGGTGGCTGCTATTATTACTCCCAGAACTGCTGCAGTATCTTCCAATAACACAACATTTGTACTAGGGTCACGGCTTTCCATTACTTAATCATTGGGGGAGAGACAAGAATAGAAAATTTCTGAAATCTTAACTTGACACCATTGGGTAACATCTTAATAAGTATCCATGTAAAATCAAGATATAAATTAAGATAAAAATGTATGGGAGATCATGATTTTAAAAACCCTGTTCAATGTAAACATAATTTCTTGGCTTAAATGTCAACAATAACTTACATATAAAGTCAAATTGCTTTCTCAAGTTATAGAAGCATATATAGAAACACAGTGGTTCACTTAAGTCAAATCTGGACGTAAAGTATCCATGTTCAAATTGCATTACATTCCTCTTTTTAAAAGAGCTTACATATTCCTAAGAGCCACACAGGGACTTGACAGCAAGATGTACTTTGTACACATCTATCAGGAACAAAGCAATAGTACCCGGTGATTTCAAGCAAATAAAGGAGATGAAATAAATACCTGGCTTCTAGAATACATACCATACTTGTAAAATGACATTCCTTTGGCCCGAGCACTCCTACGAAGTTCATTTACGGCAACAACGAGCGTTGCTGAAAGAAAAGCATTTATTTATATTAGCAAGGAAGCAACTTCGTGCCTCTCAACTTTAAAGACAGCATCTCAAAAGATAAGTAAATAAGCACAACATTTTAATGCCAGGGCTGGCAATCAGGAAAAGTCCCATATTGACCAGTCATCGAGACCCCAATTAATCACGACAATAAAATGAATCCCCTATTTCTAAACCATAATAACTAAACAGAATTACTACAACAACACCCTTAATTTATTGAAGAGCTTCTATTTGGCAGGAACCACACTAAGCATGATCACTTTTGATCCTTCCAATCTTTGGAGGCAGGTGGTGCTATCGACACTGTACAAACTATCAAAGATGAGAGGCCCCATAAATATACGCAATTATGATCGATCTGCCAATTCAAAATAATATTAATTCAAAAATACCTCTCCATTCCCACTGCTTCACTTGACCAAAAAATAAATAAGTAAAAAAAAAATAGATGAAGGGAACACTATACATAGAAGGTGACAATGTTTCAGGAGTAAACGAACTATGAACACAGCGGTAAATTAGGCAGTTTCATACTGATATTAGCAGTTCTCCGTCACAATACTGCCACAGCTGCATATTTCAGAGACTCTGAAATATTCATACCGCAAAAAGAGAGAGGCTTCTGATTAACACTACCAAAACCTGATTTTTAAAAATTCAGTATAAACTGGCTACAGTGGCACATGCCTTTAATCCCAGCTACTCAGGAGGCAGAGGAAAGAGGATCAATTGAGCCCAGGAGCTCAAGGCCAGCCTGGGCAATACAGCAAGACCCCACCTCTAAAAAATATTAATATATATAAAATAAAAATTCTATATAGTTATGTTTGCATATTCCATTTCAAATGTTCTGAGCATCGTGATATAATACTCAAGAACAAAACATACTTCCCCCCGTCCTCATCCAGAGGAGGGGAAGCTGCGGCCTTAAGGCCGTATGTGGCCTTCTAGATCCTTAAGGGCGGCCTTTTGACTAAATCCAAATTTTACAGAACAAATCTTTTGGATTCAGCCAAAAGGCCACACTTAAGGATCTAGAGGGCCACATGTGGCCTTAAGGCTGCAGGTTTCCCACCCCAGACTCATCCATTATATGAACAATCATAATACACTACACAGAGACTTTATTCCCACACTTTTCTCTAATCAATGGAACTTAGCGAGCTATAATAATGGACTGCTGGATATGTATTACTAAATTAAGAATAAAGAGATACTTTGTGACAGCACATACCTCCTTCAGATACCAATGATCCTGCTAAAATACAATATGCCTAGAAAATAAATATTAAAATAAATCATAAATTCGGTATTTCACTGAAGAATTACAATTGTTCATGCATAAAGTTTGTAATGTCTAAACAACATAAATTCGGATCTAAGCCAGACAAGAAAGACACTAATGGGAAACAACTCAAAAGAGGACAATGACATGAACAAACATTTGAAATCTGGCGTGTGGATGCCAGATGCAGTGAGATCCACACCCACACTCAAGTTAAATTCTGGATTTTGTTTGGATGCCCAGTACTAAGAGAATCCTGATTCAGAAAGACAAGTAGTTATAAACAGTAATCAATTACTTTTTTAGGTAACACTACTTTCCTTGCAGTTCTAGGACATTCTTCAATTAAATAGAGATGGCAAGAGAAGCTTTATTCCAAGGTGTACAAATAGAGTTAACCTAGCAACATAAATTCAAAAACAATTTTAATGAAATTCAAGCCAAACATCTAGAGAATTTTCAACACACCTTTTTGGAACCCTAGGCTTTCCTAAAATAGAGGTTTGAAAGTTTTGGATCTAGTCCAACACTCAAAATTCTGTTAAGGAAACAGATCTTCCAAGGTTAAGCGATTTGCCTGAGTACACAGAAGTGATAGCAGAGTAAGAACTAGAATGCAAGCTTTCCAGTCTCAATTCTAGGCCCTTTCCACTGAATCTCTCAAACTGAAACCTGGCTAAAACAGTAGCTAAACTTCCCTGTAACTATTTTTAATCCTTCCACCTTGTTCCCGAAAGTATTTAAGACACACTTATCACTCAATAAAAAGAGACAGCATATATCGGCAAGGACTGCAAAATAATATCTAATAAACATCAGCTGGTTTATGATGTGCTGAATCTATTATTTATTTAACAAAGGGCCATAGATTAATAGAACCCCATTTAGTTACTAAAAGACACAGAGCTTCCAGAAGCTTTAAAACTTCGACACAATTGAAACTTTAACTATTAATAATTACTTAATCTGTAACTCCAGAGACTGCTCTGCCTCTCTGAAGTGATGATGTACAAGCTGGATGAATGCTAAGACAATGAGGTATCTATCAAGTGGCCAAACCTTTTCAGAATGGAGGCAATACATTTGTCTGTTTTAATTATATGAAGTGTATTATGGGAAGAAACTTAGTCAATAAAAACTGCAGGAAACTAGTGAATAACAAATGTAAATAAGCCCAGTTTAACAGGCTTGTTACCATGCAGATGTGTGTGGTGTAAGAGGAGGTTAAAAGGAGATTGATTCTGTCTAGTTCCGGCTAGGACCCAAAATAGAGAAGCACCCCCACATCCCAAAATGAGGCTATATGTTATTCTCATTCTTTGACATCAGTATGACAAAGACATTCTATTGCACTCAATCACTACGTCACATTACTTCGAAACTGAGGAGAAAAGAGGAGGATTACCCATAGAAGGGATTCCATTGGTTGTGGATGAAGCAATCCCATAACTCCATGGTACCATGATAGTCCTGCACCCATCATGAAAATACCAACACCACTAATGAGCGAAGAAATATAGCGCATATTTGAAAATCCATACCTGAAAAATAAAAAAGAACGTAATATAGTTTTTAAGGAGTACAAATGGTTTCCTTTACAAAATATATGCTTAATACATCAATGAAAAAGACAACAAAAAAGTCTTAGACTATCAAGATGTTATAGTTTTATATTTAGGTAAAATGTGATCACCAAACTCAAATCTAATCAGAAAAGCAATCTATAAAGTGGAAAAAGACTGCAAGTTCTTTGAAAACATATAAAAATAAAGTGAACATCATTTAATTGAGGTATTTTCTAATCCCTTTTCCATATGGTCTATTTTGATTTAGTAGAGCTACTTTACTATTATGTAGTACAGATGTGGTAAATTAATCTTTTTAAAAACACATTCAGATGCTGAATGGGGTTAACATTTAAATTTCCTTGTAAGGCAGCTTCTAATTGAGTATTTTAATCCTTTTTTGTAGCCAATATATGATTTATATTACCTAAAATTTGATGCTTGACACTGAATAGTTTACTACATATAGTTTATTGCTGGTTCTGAATAGTTCTGAATGGCACATAGCAACTATCAACTATTACTACAACTAAGAGCTTCACCCAAAAGGGTGTCTTCATGGTTTTAAAATCTCAATTATTTTCAAGCATCTTTGGTCAATATATACATTGTTTTGTATTATTGTAAGTACCAATACAATGCTCAGCATTAAAAGGACTAAAAAATATGACATACTGTAGGAGGAAAAGAATCACTCATTCATAAAAATATTTCCTGGGAAATTTACTCCCAAACCCAAAGTCTGTGGCGCCCTTCTGGGAGACAGAAATTTAAACAAGAATTCTTAATCAAACTGCTGTTTGAATTCTGTTTTGCAAAGATGTCATCTTGCCATAGGGAATTCCCAGTTCATAGATGTGACAATGTGACGACCAGCTCATTTAGAAAAATTTACTTTCTTCTGAAGTTTCCCCCCAAAGTAATATGGAATATATATTAATTTAAGTTAAAGTAAATTAAAATCTAAATTAAATGGCATTAATTTCACTTTAGGTGTTTTCAAGGAATTTGTAGGTTCTTATTGAAAATTTTAATTGTGTAGATCCACGCTGTCCAATGATAAGCTACTAGCCACATGTGGCAATTTAAATTTAAATTAATTAAAACTCAATATAGTTTATAATTTAGTTCTTCGGTTGCACTAGCCACATTTCCAGGGCTTAGCAGCCACATGTAGTGACTACCATATTGGACAGACATAAAATATTTCCATCGCTGAAGAAAATTCTATTGGGCAGCACTAAAGTGATAATTAAAAATATCTTGAGAAGAAGTCTTTACAACCTAAAATGTAAAACTTTGACCCTATGTTTTTAAACCTTTGGTATATAAAATTGGCTAAGAAAAAAAAGAAAAATTCTAGAAATGGTAATTAGCAGACTAGAGAACCAGCTGTTTTCTATACTAGCTTATTGATAGTGATAGGATATTAAAAATATGTCATTATTTATAAGTTAACAGCAGTTCTTTGCTTTCAGGTAAAGAAAGGCATTTGTAAAGAATAGACTCCTTTACAGAAATAACAGTGCATGTTTTTTGTCTTAAGATTGATCAAATTCTATTACTGAAGCCAGTTAAAAAATGATGGCTGTGGAATTCAAAGTTTTAGATGATGCTGTTAGTAGAAGCAACAGAAAAACATCTCTGTATCAAATAGTAAGTATGGTGTGTGTTTTGGGAGCACACACAGTAAAATGGGAAAGACACAGAGAAGATCGGCATGGCCCCACACAGGGACGACACGCAAGTTCATGAAGCATTACGTATTTAAAATAATGATAATGGACAGGATTCAAAATAATATATTTTTAAAAGTATACTGATTTTACAAATAAATAATTTTGAAATATTAACAGAATACTATTTCCCAATCACAACAGTAAGATTAAAATAAGTATGTATTTAACAGAAGTTATCACCAAAATTTTAGACCAGGTAGCCTATGGGTCTAAATCTGGAATATGTTTCCCTGGACCAAAATAAAATAGACTTCTAAGATCAAAATATGTGCTTTATGTCATGATCAAATATGTTATCAAATGTGGAGAGGACAAGATCTCCATGCTGTGTTACAAAGAATACAAATAATTTAAACTCCATTTTCAAATTATACCTTGAATGTACTTCGACACAGCGGTGAGTCCTGCATTTTAGATACCACAGTAGAAGAAATGATCAATCTTTAACAAACTGCAGATATATAAATTGCAGGAGATTTCTGAAATTCAGGTGCTTTTATTTCAATGACTTGTCGCCAAAACAAACAAAAACAAAATAAAGGCAGTGTCCTTACGGATGAGAAGGATCTGGTGTCTGAACAGACTTACTGATGCCCAAGGCGAGTAACCCCTATGTAGAAGGAGGAGAAAAAGGTGAATAATCATTAGCAAGATGGCGAGCATAATACGGTATAGCCAACCTGGAGGGTGCAAGCTGACGATGACAGAGAAACACTTAACATGTGCATGTCCAATGGTCCAGCAATTCTGGATTCTAGAACTTACCTTAGAAAAATAAAAATGAACCCAAAGGGGCTCAAAACACCATTGTTTATAATGACGAAAAATATGAAGGCAACCTAAATATCCATTAACTGGGAACGGTAAAATGAATGATAAACCATAAATTATGTCTACAGCAGTTTAAGAGAACGGGGTTAGGGTAGAGCTTTCTGTACTGACATGAATAAAGCTCCTAGATATGCCACTAAGTGGAAGGGGGAAAAAGCAAGTCAGGAACAGTGTGTACAGAACAGAACAATTCATGTTTTACAGTTTTTGTAAACTACATATAATGCAAAGCACAGGAAAATGTCTGGAAGGACACACATTTAGCTATGTTTATATCTCTGAAGAAAGAAGGAAGATTAAGGTGGTCTGCAATATCTGATCTTTTCAGGAAGAGTAACTTGCACAGCTGTACGAATAAAAGATAGTAAAAACTTCTAACAGTATTTATTGCATATGGACACATACATTTCTCATAAAACTGCAAAAGCATGCACAGGAAGTATATACCGCATTTTCTTTCTTTTCTTCCTCCCTCCCTTTCCTCCTCTCTCACTTGCCTTCATCTTTTCTTCCTTTCCTTCTTTCATTTCCATTTATTTGGTTTTTTTTTTTAATTTATTATTCCAGGGTTTTGTGAGGATATTAAATTTTTCTCCTTTGTGAAAGAGTTATCCACTTGAACCTCTCAATATTAGTACGCTTGCCCTTAGTAAGGCCCTTCTATTCTCATTTGGTATGAATTTAGAAATTACGTAAGACTACCTTATAGAACTATTTAATAAAATACAAAGCCTCTGAGTGAATTCCCCATGTGATATTATATGACTGATCTAGGGCCTTTCCTTTTTTTCAGCATGATGCCAAATAATCACACAAGTAAAGCTTCTACATAATCAAATTCTTCACAGATGAAGTTTCTCTGTGGGCTGTAAGACATTTAATAGAAACGTTTTTTCTAATAAAAATATAGAGATTAAACCACCTTGAAAATGGTTAAAGCAAATACATACTGGATTTGTACATTTTGATATTGGAAATCTTACCCTAAATATGCAGAATATTTTAAGATATTTTTCTACTGAATTCCACAGAAAAAGGGGGTAAACTACCTAAAACATAGAGGACTTTTCAGTGAATTAAACTAAGAAAATGAGTGCACATTAAGAGGAACATATAATTCTCTTAAACCTGACCATTAAAATTGAAATGGTCACTATTAATTCACATGTATATATATATTTATTATATATGTATACATATGTGTTTATAATATTTGAAAAATATTCAATAAATATTTTTAAAATCCTTAATATTCAGGTTGGCTGTGCAATTTAGTGTGAGATAGTATCAACTATTATATAAACTGAATATGGACCATATTTCTTAGTTTGTATAAAAATCAAATATTACAGATCATGCCATATCCTGTTCCCCCTCAGAGGCAGGACAGAATCACAGTTGTGTTTGACACATGTCCTACCAGACCTTTTTCTGCACATGTAGAACATACACGTGTATGTTCAGTTTTGTATATATGACCTACGGAGTAGCATCTGTTTGGTTTTCAACATAACGAGCATGAGTGTCTAGCGGCTAAGAAGCATTATCAATGCACCCCACTCCATGATCGCCCACCCCTGTTCTGCTGTTCCTTCAGTACCACACCATCGAGCAGCTGCTTAAAAGGTGCCTTGAAAGACCTTTCCAGTTGTTTTGCGTGCGTATAAACTGCTTACAGAAGACAGAACTGTGGCTTCCTCTAAACACTCACTACATCGCAAACTCAAGTGCTCCAAGAATTCATGGGAGTCGATACTAAAGGATGTGCTGTGCGTTATTTAGCAAAAAGTTTTCCACAATGAACTGTGACAGAAATCGCAAAACTAGAGACACAGGTCTAATTTGAAAGTTGGAAGTCTTTTAGTCTCTCAAAAAGTGAAGAAAAAAATATTATGGCATAAAAATAGTACAGTGAATTAAAATTTTTTAAATGTTATTATAGGTCTCAAGAGAAACAGTTTTCAAAAGGACATGAAAAATACAATTTCCATCTATTCGGTAAGGCCCAACTGCAATCTTTCTCATCAAAGCCTTTTCGAAAACTCTAATAAGACACACTCTTAACCCAGGAGTTCTCAAAGCACTTGATACCACACGGTCTCAAACTTTTATTTACCTCTTGTCTTGTTGTTCAGTCTTTTACAAAAATTCATTTATTTTTCTAGTTCCAAAACTAACACATGCTCATCAGGAAGAAATTCAAACAGTACAGGAGAGGGAATGTTTTCAGAGTCTGGAGTATATTTTGGACTGTCTTTATATACACCTGTATGCAGTTTTTAATGTTGCTTGTGTGACTATTTTTGTGCTGGATTTCAGAGAGATGGTGTGTGTGCTTAAAAATGTGATCACAATCTATACATAGTGTCTTTGTGCACTTTATTTTATGAAAATTTTCTAACATACAGATGGATAGGATAGAATAATTTAAAAAACTCAACAGAACATTGTAATAACCTCAAATTACCCATCACTAAGCTCCATCAATTATAAATGTATGACCAGATCTGTTTTATTTAATCCACGTCTATTCCCTCATGAACATTCTGAAGTAAATTCTAAGAATCATGCCATTTCATCTTTAAATATTTTGGATGAATCTCTAAAAAAAAACCTAGTTATAATCATTTAAAATTCACGATCCAAAACCGCAATTACTTTTGCACCAACCTAAGTGGAGTTTATTAAAATTTCATTCTCCATTTATTTGCTGAGAGTAGAAACATAACTGATTTCTGCATATTAACCTTCTACACTTACTGATTCTGAATGTTAAACCAACCTTACATTCCTGGAATAATACTCAATTATGATATATTATCATTTTTATATACAGCTAGACTGGATCTAATTATATTTTAAGGATTTTTACATTTATGTTCATGAGGGATTCTAGTCTGTATTTTTTTTCTCTTGTAGTAACACTGTAAGCTTTAGTGTCAGGGTTATGCTGTCTCATCAGAGCAACTGAAAAGCATTTCCTTCTCTATTTCTGAAAGTCTGTGTACTATTATTAGTATTAATTACTTCTTCCCTAAATGTTTGATAGGATCCTCTTGACACTGTCCCATCGGTTACGGAGGCTCCCTTCGTCTTTTTTCAGTCTTTTTCTCTCTGTATGTAATATGACTGTGTTCTATTGTTACATACACAGATTCACAAATTTTTCTTTGCAGTGTCTAATCTGCTGTTAATTTTATACGGTGAATTTTTCATTTCAGATATATTTTTCAGCTCCATTTGGTTCTTTTTTCATACTTTCAACTTCTTTTCTCATTGTGTTCGTGTCTTCCTTTCAGTACATAAACATAGTTGTAACGGCTATTTAATATCCTGGTCTGCTAACTCTGTCATCTGTCAATTGAGTGTGATTCTATTGACCGATTTTTTCCTGGTTATGAATCTGATTTTCGTGCCCCTTAGACTGTCCAGTAGTCTTAACATTGGAAGCTAAACACCGTGAATGGTACACTGAGTGCTTTTAGATTTTGGAGTCTTCTTGACTGTGAGGCTTTGCTCTGGCCAGTCATTAAATTACTTGCAAATCAGCTTGATCCTTTAGAGCTTTTAGGGAGGTTTGTTAGGGAAGGTTCTAGAACAGCCTTCACACTAAGGATAACTCAGTCCTACTACCAAGGTGAGCCTTCTGTTGGCCCAGGTAATCAGTGAGGACTCTCCTAGCTGGTCAGAATGTGAATGCATCCCAGCCCTGTGTGAACTCTAGGAACTAATCAGTTTATTGCTCAGTTTACTGCTCTGATGGTTCTCTGCCCAGACTCACGCCCACACTTTACACGTGTATAACTTGAAATTTGGCAAAGACTAAATTCAAGGAAATCCCTATGTAGACTTCTACAGCTTTTTGTCTATGTCTCCTTCCTCTGTGGAACTCTGTCTTGTAATTTCTGGCCACCTGAATTCAGACTCCCTGAATTTTGATTTGTCGTTTCAGCTCAGTGAGACTGTTATCTCCTATCCTGCTCCACTATCCCAAATGTGGCTCCAAGCAAAAAGCCAGAGAGATCATAGAGTTCAAATCATTGTTTCCCATCTCTCAGGGATCATGGTCTTATGCTAGTGTCCAACATACTTTGTCTGGGTTTTTCAGTTGTTGACAGCAAGAGACTAAATTCAGTCCCTGTTTGTCCACCACGGTTAAAAGCAGTTCTATATATAGTATTTTGCAACCTGATTTTTTACCTAATTTATCATGGTTATTATTCCAGGTCAGTAAGGTCAGCACAAAGCTATCTATCACATTCTTTTAAACCCCTGAATAGTATTTCAGAGTATGAACACTTAAAAAATTGTCTTCAATGTTTTAAATAAAAACTAATACTGAAACTAACAACCTCATACATATCTCTTTGCCATATGTACAAATATTTCTGCATTTTGATTTTCCTATGTTCAGATAAACTTTCAAGAAAACAGAGATTACATATTACATATAATCCCCATCTCCTCTCCTCCCAGCCCACACCATGACTGGTAAAACATTATACAGATAGTAGTTACTAAATATTTGTTGAGTATAAAAATTAAAATTCAAGGCAAAGATTATCAGTGCTAATGGCAAATGCTTGTCTTCTTTCCTTACTTTTAAAAAGGGTTTAATCCATTTGATAGTGAGTTAGGTAAGTTCTCAGGTTTAATTTTTAATTACTATTGTTGTCCTTGCTCCTTATCGTTTTACTATTATTTTTTAACTTTGTCTTAAATATTCTTATTGTACCCATGTCTTTCACTGCAGTTCTCCCAAATTTATTCTTACATAAGAGGAGTATAAATAAGTAAATACTGAAAAGTATTCTCTTAACACACCAAACTCTTTAAAGTGTAAAATGATACAAAAGTAGACATTTTTACCATATTATTTAAAAAGGCTTCGGTTTCTAATATTCATAATTTAGGCCAAAGGGGGCTTAAAAGTTATTTTAATTTCATAAAAATTTTCCATTTGCAAATTCAACAAAGTAATTCAAACTACTAGTCTAATGTAAAAGCATTTTAATCACTTACGTGTGACAATTTTATATCTTTTTTCAAAAAAGTAAATTCGCTGGCTCTTACGGTCATTAAGAACTCATATTTGGAGACCAAATTTCTCCTCAGTATAAGAATCTCCCCTACAAAAGCCTCTACCCAAACATTTAGTGACTGATAATCTTATACTTTACATTCCTTTGTTGGAAGTTCTTACAGCTTAACAACCTGCTTTAAAGTACCATCGCTGTATTTTTTTGCACTTCATCGCTGAAAAGTAACACAATTTTCATTTTCTTCCACAAGCCAACTACATGAATCATTCAGCTTTTAAACAGATCAACTTCTAGATTAAAGCTTAAGCTTTTATCCTCACCTGATTACAAGTATCAGATAATGAGTGTATAGCTTCTGAGAACATACTTGCTGAACCCGTATAAATCCAGGCAAGAAACTTAAAGAAGCAGTTTAACCCATTGCTAGGAGAAAAAGAGAAAACAATTTAGCGTAGGTTTGGATAAAAATTTCTACCAAAAGCTTATTTAATTAACCGTATATACCTCTACACTAGATTCTGCTAAGAATAAATTTAAAAGAATACGTAACCTTAAAGGACATATTACTATTTAGGTTACAAGAGTACAAATTTGAAAAACATAGAGCACAGTACCATCGAGCACTCCAATGAAGAGGCATGCTGTGTGTGAGCAAATTACTTAAGTGCATTTTGAAAACTGATGAGAAAAGAGTGTTCTGTAACTCGACAAGAGGATATTTAAAAGGAAATTCTGTGTTTTCGGTAGGTAAAAGGAGATCTACACTTGACAGTGTCCAGCAGGCCGGGGTCAAAGGCAAGACTTCGGTGAGGGTTTACTGAAGCACGCAGGTGCCAGAGGTGAGGACACGTGCAGAACAGCAGCCTCAGGGTCGCACTGGAAGACCACAGATGCTAAGATAAACACGGGTAGCTGTGAGGACGTGAACTGCGCAGATCCCCACAGCGATGACTAGTGTGATTTACCCCAGGCATCAAACCAGTGACTCAGCATGTTAACCTGCAACGCCACTGTACAAACACAAACACCCCCATTTTATAAATGAGGAAACTGTACATCCCCTTCTAGCTACACCTCTTCCCCTCTCCTCCATCTCAGATAATTTCTTGTCTCGGTTTTCACTTTTTATTAAGTCTTCAATCCACTAAACAATAGCTTCTTGTCTTCATTATCTTATTAGATTGTTCTTATCAATACCACCTACCATTCCTTGCTACTAAATTACTGGAAACACTTAAATATTTTCCTTAACCTCCTGGAAGCACATGCCACTACTTTCTCAAAACATTGTCTTTCCTTGCCTTCCATGATACTCCTGCTTTCTTCCTACCTTGCTCCCTACTCTTCCTCAAACTCATCTGTGGCTCTTTTTCCTCCACCCATTTCTTAAATGTTAGCATTCTTCAAGGTTTTTTCCTAAGGGCTTTTTCTTCCTCACACTATATATACATTCCCTGGGTGATCTTAACTACTCCGATGGCTTTAATTATCATGTATATATTAGTAACTCTCAACTCTAAATCTCTAACCCAGGTCTCCCCCCAGCTTCACACCAATGTATATTAAGAATAATACTTAAGTATATGTCATGTACCAGGTACTATAAGTAATTTACATACATTACATACATTCTTCTAACAAGGAAAGTTATAATTACTACTCCTGTTTTACTGGTGAAAAGGACTAAACCTGTTGACTGTCTCCACCTGGGTGCATAATCACACCTCAAACTCAAAAATAAATTCGTCATTTTCTCTGCTCCCTCCTGTCCCTCCTTCCAGTCTCCTCTCAGTGAATGGTGCAATATTTATCCAATTGTCCAAGCCAGAAACCTGGGCACTATCTTGACCATACCTTCTAAGAGCAACTTGAGCCTACCCATGTCTATTCGTATCACCACTATTCATCATCATCCTTTGTCTGTATTATTCTAAATGCCTTCCTCTAGTTTAGTGTTCACTCCTCCAATCCTTAAAGAATTACGTATTATATCTTTATGTTTCCAGATCCTGTCACAATATCTGACACATACTTTATATATATATATATATATATATATACACATACACTTAAAAATATTATGTAGTTTCAATTAGCGAGAAAGATACTGAATGTTCTCAACACAAAAAATGATAAATGTTGAAGATGATGGATATGCTAATTACCCTGATCTGATTCGCTGTATGTACTGAAACATCACTATGTATCCCATGAATATTACAATTGTTATTTATCAATTAAAATTTTTTTAAATAAAACAACAAATTATAGAATTAACGCTTTCATATATCCTAAAATAATCATCAAAATGGACAAAAGGTAAATAAAACAATAGGAATCAAGAAGACAAAGGAAAAGAGAAAGAGGCAAAAACATCAATTATGTTCTTCCAAGGTAAATGGGAGAAAAACAACAAGTATAAAGATATTCTTCAGTAGCTGCAACCAGATTCATTTAGTTACTCTAAAAATAACCGTGGCCAATCCAACTTTTGCAAAAAAGGCTTCCATAAAAATAAGAGAGGATTTTCAGGTAGCAATTATTCTTAGATCTTAATCACATTAAAAACATACAGAGCACAAGACAGTGTCTATACAAACTTATACTCTTCCCCCACCACTTTACTGAACACAGACTTATTTAACTTCTTCCTGAAACAACATAAACCTTGAATTCTGTAGCTAGCTAACAAGTAATAAATTTATATATTTAAAGATATATACATTAAAAAGAATATATTTCTATTTTAAAAGGCTTAAATACTTACATGCAAATGGCAACCATCACCACTTTTCCTGGTCCCTTAAAGAACACTGACGCCGTTCTAGAGCGTGGCTGTAAAATAACAAAAACAGAAAACCTCTAAAATTTCCCAGAGAAGCACTATAATTGGTGGCCCAGAAAATTTCTCCTCTATCAAAACTTCTGAACAACTAGGTTGACTTATTTAATCATTTTTCTCCAGAATCTCTTCTTTAACACATTGACTGCCACATGAAAAAAACAGAAACTTTTCCTTGGGGCCACAGTGTTTTATTATCAAAATAGAATAAAAACTTCGAGTGTAATTTAAAAGTAAATATAAATAAAAAATGATATTTATTGACTTCTATTCATTTAATTCACACTTTTATAATTAAATTGTCAATACTAATTGTAATAATAAGAACATCAACAAGTAAGATTTTATATATGCTTCACATGGCCCCAGGGTCAAAACTAGAGTGAGTTAAATACAACTCACATGGCAGTTGATGTGTTAAAAAGCCTATCTGGGTCCTTTTCCAGAACTTCACTTATTTTGTTTCCTTGTAATTCATGTCCTGCCTACATATAGAAAGGATCTGAGTTGGCTACATAAAAACTAGTAATAAAGTGATAAAAATGCATTGAACTAAAATCCATACACTCTAAAATTTTTCCATTTCTTAACCAACTTCTTAGCTTTTGAAAAAAAAGGAAGAGCCAAAGCCAGCAAGTTTGCTGCTCTAATTTAACTCCTAACTGCTCTCTCAGAAAAAGAGCTGTATAGTGAAAATAATATGTTTAATTCCCAAACAGACCAAAACACAAAAGAACAAAACAAGTAGGGAAATAATTTCCAGGAAATTTTTTCTTGAGCTAAATTTTCTTTTGTTGTTCCCTGAATATATACTTTCTTTGGCTTTTCTCATATTCTTTCCCCTCCCTGGAATGCCTCTGTCTTCCACTGCAATCTAAGTTTTACCCACCCTCTTCCCCTTTCTACGTAAAGTGTCTCTTTTCTACATGGAGCCTTCCTTGATCACCCACATAGAAATATTCACTCTGCTACAAATTTATTATTGCACTTCACATTTCTATTAAAGTACTTTATATATTCTGCCTTACAACATTTATTCAGGAAATGCATATTGTGTAACTACTATATACCTGGCACCGTTCTAGATGCTGGGGTATGACTGTAAGCAAGAGAGAGTTCCTACCTTCATAGATCTCAGTCTAGTACAGGAGGACAGAGACTAAATCTGTAAGTAAGTGCATAACATCAGACAGTGACGAACATAATACAGAAAACAAAGCAGGCATGGAGAGCGTGTGTGACGCAGTAGTGCAGAGGGTGTGGCGGGAAGGGTTATTCTAGTGAGAGCAGTCAGGGAAAGACCCCATGACCAGAAGGAGGTAATCATGAAGAGATCTGGAAGAATGTTTCAAGCAGCATATGCGGCAAGTTCAAAGACTGTGGGACAGAAACAAGTGTGATGTACAGAAAGGACAGAAGTAAGGGCCATGTGGCAGAAGTGAGGAGAAAAAGGAAAATGGTAGGAGCTGAGGCCAGGCAGGGGCCATATCCCACAGGATTCTGTAGACTGTAGAAAGGATTCTGAATTGTATTCTATGTCAAGTGTCTGCTTAAAATTATCCAGTGACAATTTTAAGCAGAGACTTAACATAGTCTGACTTGTGTTTTAAAAGATACAGTTTATAATGTGGAGAAAAAGCAAAAGGCGGAGGAATCAATTAGGAGGGTATTCAGGTAAGAGAGACGATGGTTCGAAGTTTCAATAAGGAACATGCTAAGAAAAAGTCACACCAGGAATCTAGAGAGAATGCCAGTGGGACTTGCTAATGGATTTAAAGTAGTAAGAGACCCAGGAAGAATCTCGAACGTTTGGAGGTTGGATAGAGCAGCAGAGTCCCTTGCAAAGGAGACAGAGGAAGAATTAAAAGGGTACAAGAAAAAAAAAAACAGGAGAAAGATCAACTTGAGCTCCTAGAAAACAAAAGGTTCCAAGGAAGAGGACTACTTTCTACTGGTGGCAGACGCTTGACTACTTCTTCCTTACTTTTCTCATTTCTGTGACGAGAGATTTCTCTCCACCCCGACCTCCTCCGCACGGCAGCCTCCCGCACACAGCCCTCCCCTCCCACCAGCCCCCTGGAGATTGTCTAAGCTTAGTGAGGAAAGTCACCAGTAAGTTTGAGAGAATTCTGGGCGTGCTGAGCTCCCTCCTTCATTTTAGGATTTGGTACTCATTCTGTTCTGTTCTTCCATGGCTCTGTAACCTGGGCAATTTACTCAGTAAGTCCAAATAAAGAGTCTTTAAGTTCTAATGCGTGGGCTTGGACCCTGGAGAAAACAGGCGAGGGCAATAAATAGGGAGTGAAGTTTGAGATTCTTAGAGGGGCCATGCTATGTAAGACTTTGTTCTTAGTGATTGCCACGGCTCACAGCAATTCTGTCCCCTGGTAGGCAGGACACAGTGGTCTTGAATGAGCAGGAACCGACCTCAGGAAGGTGCAGGTCCTGCGAGCGGGGCTACCACAACACAGACTTGCATTCTATGGAGGCGAATTGGCCTGATGCTACAAAGACAGGTGAGGTGAGGTTCCATTTCAGGCATCAGGGAATCAAAATGCTTTTTTTGCACTTTTACTGTGTTTTTGGCCAACTCTACAGGACAGGATCTTAAAGAGCCCTTCTTAAGTTTCACAAGGACAACAGAGCAAAGGGGTGAGCTTCCAATTGTAAAGTGTTGTTGGGCCAGACCTTGAAATACAGTGAAATGCCCCAAATTCTGTATTGACCTGCCTTCTGGGTTAGGAGATGCAACTATGCAGGAGCAAGCCTCGTCTGTATGGCTTCAACTTGTACTTAGATTTGTAAGCTATAAACTCTGATCATGGCTCTAAATGTCTGAGTTCTACTGTTTATTGGTAATGGAGTGTGTGTTTTATTATAATAAGAAAATGTTGTACCCTTTGGTTGAACAGAGTAAAAACCCAATGAAATTAATACAGCAACAGCAT